TGAGCCCTCAGAAAGAACTCCCCCAGATTGCTCAGGTTAGCACCAGAAAAGGAAGAAAGTTAAAAAAACCCAAAAAAACAAAAAGGAGAAAATAAAAAAATAACAAGGTCTTATTTAAGAGACATGCTTCCTCCCCACCCCTACTTTCCAGCTAAGCCCAATTTGTTTACACCACCAAAGCCAAATGCATCAGTGTTTGGATAGACTGACCTTTGCTTTCACAAAAAGGGCTGTCATGATGACTGCATAAATGAAGAGGAATCCATCCAGTACGTAGCAGAGTCTTGGGTCTGTCAGTCCAAGAACTGGTACAGCATCTGTACAGAAACATCAGATACATCAACAAACAAGGCCATTTGTGTCACCGCGTGCTTGACGGCATAAATGTGGCAGTGCTGCATGGTGCTTCATGAAAAAATAGCCAGTATGAGGGCAAGTCTGTCCATTTGCAAAGGAGATGGAAATCTGAGTAAGAATCATAGGATTAGTTAGGTTGGAAGGGACCGCTGCAGGTCTAACCCTCCCCTCTAAAGAGGGTCAGTTAGACCAGGCTGTCCAGGACCTCAGCCAGCTGAGTTAGAGTCACTCCAAGGATGGAAATGTTTGTAACCTCCCTCAACCAGTACAGGACATTTACCCAGTTTCCCACCCACAGAGTCTGGGCTCTGCTCCCTGCAGCTCGCAGGCACTGGTCAGGGTGCATGGAGATAACCAAGGGTCACTAACACCACAGTTACTGCAAGAAAGCTTCATACAGAGCATTTGTTTTCTGGGAAAACCCAGCAGCATCTCCTGCAGGGATTCATTACTGGGCCTGGTTAGGGATTCCTTCATCAACTAAAACTTGTGTGTGCGTGAGAAAATACGTCCTTTTGGACAAAATTTTAGGTAAGGGCTTCTCAGGACAAAGTTTTGTGTTAAATGTAAAGAAAGATTGACACCACCATAGTCAGCTGGAGATCCAGGCTGAAATCGCTACTCTACTTTATTCAGAAGAAGAATTTAACGATGCATCTCCTGTATCCCAGGTTATATATCATAACCGTAAAGCTGCAGTGTCTTCTCTGTGAGGGTTCTCCTGGGCTCCCAGTTTGGGGATGTTGGAGACCATTAATCATGAGAAGGGAACTATGGGCAGGAGAGACAGACTTTTAACCCCAGATATCAGGGCACATGCATGAGATACCCATGAGATACCTGATGTGCTTTCGGTTTGAGAGGAAGGTTTTAAACTTGAATTCCCAGGAACCTCAACTGGCTGTCTCTTGTTGGATGGATCACCCCCAGAAGATTATTACTTTTTATTTGTTTTTAAAAGAAATGTTAAAACTTTTCTGAGGGAGAAAAATCTACTACTACTCTAATGGACAGCTCAATACAATTGTTACTCAGAAGATGTTGATGTTCATTTCCTAGTCAACATCACATATGTTTATACCCTGACCGCATCAAGCGGGGCACAGTAAAATTGTTGGTTTTCAGCAGCTAAAACTGATGAAACTGCCCCTGTATCAGTTCATGAACATATAGTAAGTTCACAAATGTAGCTAAAAAAAAAAAAAATCAAAGCAATTCAGGTCAAGAAGCCTAAGTAACTATAGATCCAGTATGCAGCTCCAGGTCCATCCCCAAAGGAAAAGCTGTATTGCACAGTTATTAAAAAAAAACCCACCACAAAACACTTAAAAATTAATCTGAGATGTGCTTCGTACAAAGAATTGGAGGGAGTTCAAAAGAGAAAGACAAGAATGATCAAGAGCCTGTGAAGCCCTTCGATGAAGATAAATTGAAAAGAATTGGTATGATTCATCTCCTTCCTAAGGTGAACAAAGTATGGCAATTCTTATTAACCGTATGTGATGGAGGGTAGTTGAACCACTCAGTGCAGCGCTTCAGGGTGCTGAGTTACTCCAGTGCTGACAGCGAGACTGTTTTGCGCGCTGGGATTTCTCCCTGGCCCATCAGGCCACGCTGACGATTTCATTAGAAGAAACCTGCAGATGGCATTCAGGCAGTATGCACTCACCACGGTGAGGAAGTCTCCTTCGCAGAAATAAAGTTAATGATGATGGCTTGTCGCACTGCTCAAGTGTGCAATTTGTATAAAGCATGACTGAAAAGCTGTGCCTGGATACTTGGTAATGTAATTGTAAATTCTCAAGCAGATGATGATACAATCACTGTTCCCGCTGAGAGCCTAACACAGCCAGAAAGAAAACCATTTCCAAACATTAGATTTGTTTGCTTGTCTGAACTGGGAGTTCGCATTCTTTGGGTTTTTTTGATCATGTGTTTAGAAACAGATCCATGGAAATAAATTAAGATCCTAGATGGTTTTCTTTCTTCCCCTCCTATTTCTATTATTTTAAAAATAAGGTTCAAAGCACTTTATAAACAATAACCTTCACCACACTTTTTTCAGGATTATAAAACCTCCTATACATGGGGTAAATGGAGACAGAGAGATTAAGTTATTTGCCCGACGTTGCATATTAAACCAACAAACAAGCTGAGATTCGCTTCCTAGAGTTTTTCTTCTAAACAGTCACAGGACAATATTTTTCGCCAGAGTTGGTTCAACACAAAACTAGCTTGAATCGCATTAGACTTGGTAGCTAAAATGCAGCACCAGGGAATACAGCTGCACAGCATCCAGAGGCAATTTGTTTCTAGCAGTAATTCAGTTGCTTTCGCGCAGTGCAGCAGTCTGCCCCAGCGTACCCTGGCCTCGAGCTGGACGTGTCCAGAAGCAGCTCAGGGTTTTCCAGCGCTGTGCCCAGATCAGAAATACAATGTAAGGAAGGCGAGCAGCCCAGCACAGAGCCAGCCAGAGCCAGGAAGCCTTGGGGTATCTGAGATGCTGCTGAAGAAGGCTTTGGGGGTCCTGGCCCTGACTCCCCTCTTCCTGTACCAAAGCAGGGCACGTTCAACACTGTCATGCCAACTCCAGTATTCCTCCAGTACTAATAAACTCTCCAGACCAGGAGGAGCTCGAGCAGGAGATGTAGAGGACTACGGAGGAGAAGTCAAGAGTGCAGGGGACCTAGACCTAACTGTAGCTCTGTGTCAGCTGTGGTCAACCTTGGCTGACTCTGCGGAGCCGCCCAAGTGCCTACGCACTGCTTATCTGGGGCAGCCTGGCCTCCAGCACCTCAGGAAATGGATTAAAGCTGTTCAATGAGGGAAATCCTGCCAGACGTAGCCTGGCTGTGATGGTTCCTGGAAAAATATGTATTGAGATAATGATAAAGTCCAACGTTTAGAAACAAACCAAGAAAATGAATTAGTTCATGTCTTTTCCTACCTTAATATGTTTGATTTCTGTGTTCTTTAAAAAAAAAAAAAAAGGTATAAAGCACTTTCTAAATAATAACCCTTGCAACAGCTTTCTGGATTAGAAAGTGAGAGAGGAAAAAAGACAAAAGATACAAAGCCTATTGAAACAAAGGTCAAAGAGATAGGAAGTGTAATGAACAAGTAGCAGTTAAAACAGTTAGCATCTATTCATGTGAACAGGATCAGTTTAGGTTTTTAAATCGCTAGAGGAGGGGTTACTGCCTCTTCAATATTTGCATAACATGCACAAACAGAAGGCCAGTCCCTTAGGCACCACCAAAATGTACTCTCTGCCCCTCATCAGCCCTGAGCCGTGGTTTGGGGGGCTGAGGCCAAGGTCGCACTGCTGCAGTGGATGGGCTAATGATGGGAGCTGAGCAGAGCCAAGCCTGCCAGGCTTGAGGGAGCAGTCACACTTAGCTGCCTCATGTAGAGCAAAGCACAAATAATTAACATTTCACTGATAATTCCCACTCTGTTAACCTTACAGATTACCTAGTGCCTACTGTGAGTTGCACAGCATCTTTTCGATATTCATATACCAGTGTTTTACTAGTCCAAATTTCAGCAGTCCAGTAAAATACAGCAGGGTTTTAAAGCAAGATGGCTAAGTACAGGCACACGGCACAGCTAATGTCAAGTCACAGGCCGGCGGCGAATACAGTTACGTTGCATTGTAAATGATGTCAAGCTTACTGCTGAAACGTGGCTCAGACAAGCACCATCTCTCTCTCCAGGCATCAAAAAGGAGTTGGGGCACAAGTCGACATCTAGGTACACAAATACACAAGAGCTTAAGGATGAGATCAAAGTGGTGCTTTTGCTTGGCAGGGAAGCAAGTTCTGAAGGAATAACAATTAGAAAGTTTGTACTTACTCTTCCTCACGATGTGCTCCTATGCAAGTAGCTGCACAGTTAGATCTCCCATTGCACAGCGGGGATAACATTTACTCACAGACCACCAGGATATTAAAGAAAACCAGAAACAAACTATGCAACTTACAGCATGAGGTAATTACTTTTTTTTTTTTTTTTAGGAGTTTGTACAGGAGAAGCTATGGAAAGCTTTGTACAAGGAGCTGACAGAGGCTGAGTAAGGACTGGCAGAGCCATAGCAGATGAGGCGGCAGGAAAGGAGACGGAGTCAGTAAGGGGAGCACTGCTGCATTTCGTGACAAGGTTGTCAGCCCTTCTCAATCCCAAACCCCAGGTGCCTACCACCACATTTGGGACTCTT